AGCCTCTTCTTCCGATGAGTTCCGGCAAATCCATGAATCAGGTTTTTCCCTTGAGTGATCTCGCTTCCTCTCGAATCGAGTGATTATTCCGGGAGGATTTGGTAATGAGAATGAGCCTCCGATGATCCCCTCATTCCTCTTCAGTTTCCGTAACTCCACTCTTCTTGGGTCTCTCCTGACAACAAACAACAATACTATCCCCGAACGTTTAGCCAATTTCTCCAATCTCTCCCTCCGAGGAAGCAAAATCCGTTTTTCTGATGGGACTTCTCAGAACGTAGAACCGCGTTGACTCATTCGAAGAACGTCTGCCTGCTCATCCACCTCAACAGATGACTCTTCATGGAAATGTGCAATTTTTTCCCCCACGTAACCAGGGTGATTGCAAATTGTAATGGTCTCAGTATCGGAAGCATTTGCTTGTCTTAAGTTTTCCCCCTCCGCTTCTGGAGTGTGTGCTAGTTGACTAATCTGAATCACTGCATTGCTGATTCTTGATTCAGACTAATTCCGCTTATTGTTAATGGCCTTCAATCCAAAAAACCTCAGTATGGAGCCATTTATGGAAATAGCCCTCCCTGGAATGATTCTCACATTCAGGTCCTTTGATTCCAGGAAATCTTGACCCAAAATACCTCCTGAGAACGGAAAGTTATCGGGAACTACGTGGAAAATGTGTCCCAATTCCTNTTCTTGATTCAGACTAATTCCGCTTATTGTTAATGGCCTTCAATCCAAAAAACCTCAGTATGGAGCCATTTATGGAAATAGCCCTCCCTGGAATGATTCTCACATTCAGGTCCTTTGATTCCAGGAAATCTTGACCCAAAATACCTCCTGAGAACGGAAAGTTATCGGGAACTACGTGGAAAATGTGTCCCAATTCCTCCTGCTTAAAGCGGAAATATATTATTACTTTCCCAAGTGTCGGAATCTCTTGGTCAGCAATTCCTNTATTACTTTCCCAAGTATCGGAATCTCTTGGTCAGCAATTCCTCGCAGCAGATTGACATATTCAATCAGCGGAAATTTTTTACGTAATTTCCCCTTTTTAATTAAAGAATCAGCCGCACCCGACTCCATCAAGAAAGCCGTGCGACTCCTGAGCATTGATGCTTCCAGAACAATGTGATTTCTATGATTCTCCGGCCTGGCTAGTCTTATTACTCGTTTCGCCCTCTGCGTACAATCCGAATGTCTCAGGATGCTGCTTGAATCACTTTCAATCTGGTATGTCATAACCCTATTGACATTTCTGCAACGTGAATTCACCTTCCTAAGTTTTCCATTTTTATTCTCCTCCTTCTGTTTGGAATAACCTCTGTTCTTCATTTTAGCCTTGTTCCCATTCGGAGTGGCCTCAATTTCTGCTGAACCAGAAATTCCGAGTCGTCTTTTCAGTTGACGGCAACCATATGCATTGTGACCCATACGTCTGCAATATTTGCACTTTACCTCATTTTGACTCTTGATGAAATGTGGAGAATTCGAACGCATTACATTCCCGTTCGTAATTTTCAATGAGAGCCCGCACTCTGCAGCTGTGTGTCCCTCCTCTGCACAATTGAAACAAATATTCAATTTTGTTTTACCCTGTTTCCGGTACGTTTGCGTTAATATCGCCCTATCTTTCGGGCTTTCCCTTTCCCTTGGAAGATCTGGAAGATCGGCCGCCGCCCAGGCGTTGTCCTCAATTCCCTCCTGCCTCATCGGGCCTTCGTTTTCTGGAATTCCTACATTCGACGACACGTATTGCCCCGTGTCCCACTTCGAAATTTCTACTGAGCTAAGCAGCATTTCCATCTCGAGTTCTGCTGTTAGTGTGCAACACTTGTGAAACTCCAATTCAATGTTCACCATTTCCATCAGGCGTTGAATTGGTCGTTGTAACCCCAACTCAAAACGAATTTTGGCTATTTTCATTGCTAACCCCTCGATACGATCTGCGAATGCGCTGACATCTTCACCCGAGCCCTGCCGTAGGCTGCAAAATTTCAGATTTAACTTCTCCAAGGTTTCTGCTCTGGCATCGGTCACTTTTGTACTCCTGTACTCAAACCCCGCCATAGTTGTATCTTTTCCGTTGCTTGGTACCAAAGGGGCTGTACCTTCCCTAGCGTCGGCAAAATCCTCTTTTCCGCAGTCAACTGCACGGATGACAATTGTCGCAGCCTCCATGGCCACATTCGATGTTCCGCCCGCTGACAACGAACCTGGTACGTCTACCAGTGCTGGTGCCTCGACCAGTTGCTGCGTTACGCCTGGCATGCCGGCCAGGGCTTCCTCAATAATCGACACACTTGCTAGTGTCCTTGGGCCCATGTCAACAAATTTTATCTCTCGACGAGATACACTGTGAACTCGTTTGGCAATAGACATACCCTTCAGAGTCTCACCTAGTCATACTATGTCCACAGTACTTCCCAAGACCTGAGAGACCGTAGAATGTAGTGGAAATCTTCCGGATTTATTCCCACTCTGACGACAAAAATTCTTGGCAGCGATAAATTCTCCTTGAATTCGCGAAGCCATCATTATTTCCGCAGCAAGTCACAGAAATAATCCACAATGAAGCTGAATAATCAGTGAATTTATTGAATACTTCAGCTGCTTCAGATTCTCCTCCCCCTTTTGAAGAGAACCAAGTCTGACTTTTTAAAGCTGAGGACAAAGTCAGACCTTGTACTATCCAGTTGAATAGGTTTCTAATGGAGCATGCGAGGACGGATAATGGTTTCGGTGGTGACGTCCGGCAAGGGGATTGCTTCCGGGTACCTGGTGAATCGATCCACTATTGTGAGGCAGTCCTTGAAGCTTCTCGAGAGTGGCAGCGAGACCAGGTCGATGTGGATGTGCTCGAAACGTTGAGTTGGCAGCGTGAAGTTGGAGATTGGCGACGATGTGTCTGGCGATTTTGTTTTTCTGGCAGGGTATACAGTGCCGACTCCATGCCAAACGATCTTTGTTTAGTACAGGCCACACATAGCGGTCTGCCACCAATTTTCTCAGCGCTTTTCCTCCCAAATGTGCTAGCGAGTGTAGTGCTGACAGCACCTGATTTCTGAGTTCTCTTGGGACGAATGGGCGAATCGAGCCAGATGGAGCTACGTCGCAAAATAATCCCACGTCTGACCCTGGGATGCTGAGGAGTTGAAGCTTGAGGCTGTTGAGTTGTTGCAGGAGCTGCTGGAGTTCTCGGTCTTCTTTTTGCGCCTGTGCCAGATGTTGATTGTCGACTGCGCGGGTGACCGCCTCGACGCGAGCCAGCGCGTCCGCCACCACGTTGTCCGTTCCTGTGACGTGGCGTATATCAGTGGTGAATTGCCCAATGAAGTCTAGCTTCCTGAATTGCCAAGGAGACGCTTTTTCTGGCTTTTGTTTGAAAGCGTGAATCAGGGGCTTGTGGTCTGTGTAGACGATGACGTGTCTCCTCTCGAAGATGTGCCTGAAGTGGAGCACTGCCTCGTAGATAGCCTGGAGTTCCCTGTCGAACGTAGCGTGCTTCTTCTCTGAAAGCGTCAGCTTTTTGCTGAAGAAGGCAAGCGGCTGCCAGGCGTGCTGGTGTTGTTGTTGGAGCACTGCCCCTACGGCGTGATTTGAGGCGTCTGCAAAAATGGCCCATTCTGCTTCGATGTTTGGATGTGACAGCAGGGTGGCTTCGGCCAGTGCTTGCTTGCCAGAAGCGAAGGCAGACTCTAGCTCGGGAGTCCAGGTAATGGGGTGTCCTCCTTTCATGTCAGCTCTGCCGGTGGCTGAGTTCAGAGGGCGTAGGATCTTTGACGCTCCGTGTTTGGTTTGGGGAACTCGAGGAGGTCCCTGACTCGTTTCTGGGAAGGTCTGATTCCCTGTGCATTGATCGCATGGCCTAGGAAGATGACCTCTGGCTTGCATAGGACTGACTTGGTCACGTTGATCACCAGACCAAAATCTTGAAGGCGTTGAAAGAGGACTTGGAGGTGCCCCAAGTGCTGTTCAGGAGTTTCCGAAGCGCCGAGGATGCCATCTATGTACGGGAAGACGAAGAGTAAGTCCCTCGTGACTTCGTCGATGAGCCGCTGGAAGGTTTGAGCTGCGTTCCGAAGGCCGCAGGTCATGAACGGAAACTCAAATAGCCCAAACGGTGTGATGATCGCAGTTTTTGGAATGTCTTCTGGTGCAACGGGTATCTGGTTAAAAGCCTTGATCAGATCGATGGTGGAGAAGATGTTGGTTCCAAAAAGGTTCGCCGCAAAATCCTCTAATTATCTGACGAGATATTTGTCGGGGATAGTTCGATCGTTTAGGGCTCGATAGTCACCGCACGGCCTCCATTCTCCGTTCTTCTTGATGGCGAGATGGAATGGTGAAGACCAGGGACTTTCGCTGTGTCGGGCGATTCAGAGCTTCATCATTGAGGAAAACTCCGCTCTGGCTATGCTGAGTTGACTGGTGCCAGTTGTCGTGCTCTAGCTGAAATTGGTGGTCCAGGAGAGGTCCTGATGTGGTGACGGGTGGAGTGCTTGGAGTTCCTGAGGAGCCCTTCTGGCCTGGTAATGAGGGGAAATTCCCTCAGCAATGATACGAACGGCGAATCTTCGCGGATTTCCTGCAGTCTGATGGGAGAGGACTCGTGGTTGGCCAGCCGCCCGTTCGATGTCAGGCCAGTGGTGCTATCGATGAGCCTCTGATGTTTCAAATCAGGAAGAAGACTGTAGTGATGGAGGAAGTCGGTGTCAATTATGGGCTTTCAGACGTCCGCCTCGATGAAGCGCCAGGTGAATTCTCTGCGCAACCCTAGGTCCAGTGTCAGCGGTGCGTAGCCATAGGTGTTGATGAGAGAATTGTTGGCAGCGAAGAGCTGAAACGCGGTACCCTCTTTCTGGTGAGAGTGTCGTCCGTGTGGGGAGACTGAGACATCTGATCCGGTGTCCATCAGATACTGTACTTTGGATGTTTTGTCAGTGATGAAAAGGCGGCGGGAATTGATCGGAGAGCCGCGCTCCGCCGCCAGCGACTCTCGGGGGTGTTTCCTTGGTACCCACAGCCAGGTTCGCAGTTTCGCACTCTGTCGCTGAATCGCTGATGGTAGAAACAGAGTTTCGGGCTGTTGTCTGTGTTGGATCTGGACCTGCTGTACGAACGACTTTTGGAGCGACCCCTAGAGCTGTGTGGTGAGTGCTGTGCTTTCAGTACCGCGACCTCGGCGGTGAGCTGCGCGATTTGCGCGGACAGCTGTGCGACCTCGGCGCCTCCGGCGATGGAAACTGCAGCGACGGTGCCTGTGGAGTAGACTTCGTGGAGTCTGTCCGCCAGTTTCGCCAAGTCTACAACTGGAGACTCGTCTTGGACCACCAGACACGCCCGTGTCAGCTCAGGAAGGTGGGAGAACCAACTTGTCTTCAGCACTTTCTCGTCGATGTCGGGGACCAGGCCCTTGAGGTGCCTGAGGTGTTGCGATGGTGTGCGGTCTCCAATACTTTCTGCATCGTGGAGCCTCAGTAGGTTAGCTGTTCTAGATTTTGAAATACAAGAGATTAGTGTGTCTTTGATTTTTTGGTAAGGTGTGCCTGTTGGCACACTTATTATAAGGTCCTCTATTTCACTGGCTACTTTAGTGTCCAGCAGAGGGATCCTGGCATAATACTTATCCGTCTCCGTGATAATACAAAAATTGCGGAGCAGAGCCTCTAGTTCTGCGAACCAAAGGGCTGGTTTCTCCTGGCTGAACGGAGGTGCCTTGGTTGTCCGTTGCGGTGATGTCATGTTGTTAGTTGCTGGTGGTGAGTGGATGGATGGTCTGAGGATGGGGTTTGTAGGGTTTGCCGTTTCGTTCGGCTCTGGCACTGGTTTTTAAACACACTGGCGCGGCACAACGTCCTTTCACTAAATTGGGATGCCCTGCAATGCGCCAGCAGGTGAGTTGGAAAATGTACGGCACTGTCACTGGGTGCTGGGGTGCGGAGCGCGCGCTGGCTTGGGGAAGACGCCCGAAAATCGATTTTCGTGACGTCACGCCGACAAAGCGAGGTATCGCTCGAACTGCCATTGAGTTGGCACTGACCACGTGCGAAAGTTAATTTATGCGTTTTTTTATTTGTAGGTATTTTCCGAGTAGCATCTCGGGAAACAAAATATTGAGCAATTAGCACTGTGGGTAATAACAGCTGAGTCGCGGGATGCGAAACTGACGAGAATTATGCCACTCGACCTGATTTACTCCCGGCACTGTTTATTGGGTTACGCTTGCGACACTTGTTGTTCCACGAGTTGATTAATAGATCACGTCGGGGTCACCAATGTAGGTTTCGTGGTTTGACAGAGAACACTACACCAGCGAATAGATATAAAGATTGTTTATTCACCGAAGCCTATTACAAATGATAGGTTGCGATTTATGTTTGCGGACTGACAGCGCTGAAACAGATATATCTGTAGACTGACTTCACGTGTCGTCGGATACACTGTGTGGCATTCCACAGGTGCGTGCGCAGGTGTAGCTGAGCGCTACAGTATGACAGTATTTCCCACTCTTTTGATTTTCATGGGGAAGTAGTTCATTCGGTTTTTGGGGTCTTAATTAATCGGTTGTCAATCGTTCTTTCGCGCGCGAATCTTAGTATTGAGTAATTGGGGCATGCTGAGTGTGCCATTTCATCACTTTTGAACTCGATTCTGGTGTCTTTGGAATTTTTAATTGAGTCCAGGTGATTAAATGCTCTCAGTTTAATTTACAATTGTGGATTCGGTTCTTAATTGCCTGAAATTACAATATAACTTATAATTATACTCTTAAATAAAATTTATTCTGGTCTTAAATTGCTAGTATAAAATTTTTGGACATTACAGCCTTCGCTCAAAATTGTTTCCAATTGCATTTTGGAAGCAATTTTGAAGAGTTGGATTTCCAATTCTTATGTGTAATATGTATTGAGTTATTTTACTTGATAACCGTGCACCGCGCGGTGGCCGTGAGCGGCTGGGTGCTGACGGTGGCAGTCTTGGGCGGTCGGATTAAATTGCATTTCCGATTCACCTGTCAGTTTCCTTCGCTCACTCGGTGACTGGTGAAGTGCTTTGTGTTAATTTTTGTTTTTGTGCCAGGGATTTTATTCGTTACGGTAAGTGTTTTGGAATATTTCCTTGTCTATTTCCTATTTTATTTTTGCCACATGTGCAGTGGTTTATTTTCTTGAGTAATCATTCAGGCTCTATTTTATCTGTTGGTTTCCTGCTTATTTTATCATATTTTATTTTATATATTTTGTTTTATTTTACTTATTTTATTTATTTAAGATGTTTCGTATTTTCTGGTCGATTTTCTTTTTGAATTTAAAGTTATTATGGCGGGCTGCGAGGGGGGTGTGGTGAAAGGCTTGTTACCGTGCGAATGTCGCACTAAGAGGAGCAGCCGATTGAAACCGTCCACGCTCTTATGCATAGGAGGTGTATTCTTCTCCATTCTTCTTTGTGCGAGATTCGCACCAAGAGGAGTGGAGGATTAGCTATATATGGTTCCTCACACTCACGTGCCTGGTATCTTTCTTTTCTTCTTTTCTCTTCTCTGGGTAATAACAATTTGTTATTACTAATTAATTGTTATTTCCAATTATTTATTAACAAATTTTTAGTTTCATAATTTTTTTTTTTAATGCTTCATGCTATATGTATATGCATCTGCGTGTATCCATGTATATATATTTTTTATATACTTCAAGATTTTAAACTATTATTATGTTTATTATTTTTTCTTTAGAGGTGAAGGTTGCGGAGGCAGCTGATAGACTATCAGGCTTTCCTCTGGGCGACCGATGGAAGGGGAGATATCGTTTTTTTAAATATATATTTCTCCCAAGATATTAAGAGTTATTATGTCGTCAGGTTTTTTTTTTATTGTATCGTATGGTGGAAAATATATTTTCCCCTCTTTTTCTTTTTAAATTTCTAGTTCGTTATTTCTTTGTTATTAGCTTTAGTTCTTGAATTATCTGACTTTTCTAGATGTAGTTGATGACAACAGCGGATGGTGTGTCCTGTGTAGAGGTCGGCTTTACGTATTTGGGCCTGGTGTCTGCTCTTTCTTTTGGCGGTGGTGATGGCACTGGATAACTGGGCATCGGCATTTGCGTTATGTTCGTCAGTTCCACTGGTGTTTCGCTGAGCTTTTGGATTTTTGGGGCTCCAATGGAGACTCTTCATTGGACTTTCCTTTGTCTTCTGGGTTCACAACAACAGGAGGAATAGGACAGAATACCTATGATCGACAGGCCTTCTCTGTATGCGCAGAAACTGGCTGTGATCATGCACAGGGAAATGATAGTTGTGATGATGCCGTTTGTGGTGGTGAAGATTCGTTGATGATAGTCCTCTTGGTAATGGAGACCTCTTTCCTCGGCTTCGTCCAAGGTGTGTTGGGGTGATTCATCGAATTCCCTGTTTTCATCCAGGGAGGGTAAGATATGTTGTTCTATTTTGTTTAGTGGAGGTAATGGTTTTGGTATTTCTTTCAATATTGGTGCCATTTCTGAAATATTTATTGTTTTAGATAGTCCAAATATGATTGGAAGCTGCGACTTGATCAATCCTGCACCTCCAATTACTGTTGTAGTGGTTTCTGCGGTGCTGTTAGGATGCAGAGTGATGATTCCTGCACTGTTTATTGTCAGGCTTATAACTTGCTGATTTATGCAAATTGTTTCTAGTAGCTCCGGTTGTTTGGTCGCCTAGAGCCATCCGTCTGTGTTGGTCAGCTTGGTCCATTGTTTCAACTCATTCTTCGGAAGGTTTCAGTTTATTTGGATGTTTCATGAAGTGGTGTCCGTCTTTACTTTCTAAGTACACATTTCCCTTTTCTGTGATGTCAACCATCTCGTAGGGTCCAATGTAGGCCTGTTCTAGTTTTCCGATCTTCGGTTCTTTTTCTACGTAGACAAATTGCCCTATTTTGAGGTCTATTGGTCTAGCGTCTCGGTCGTAAAGGCTTTTGGAATGTAGTTTGGCCTTTTCTAGGTGGTCGAAGGCGAGATGGTGAATTTTTTCCAATTTATTAATTAGATCTACCATGTAATCATTGTAGCTATAGATTGGCTCATCTTCGTCGGTGACGTTGGAGGGGAGAACTGCCCTTTTTCCATACAGGACTCCAAATGGTGTGAATTTTGTTGAGCTATGCACAGTGGTGTTGTACGATAGCATGGCGAAGGGGAGTAGCTCGTCCCAGTCGGTGAATTCGTCGGTAAAGGTCTTCAGATATTCGGCTAGTACGTGATGACTTCTCTCAAGGGCTCCATTTGACTGAGGTCTGTATCCAGATGTCGTTATATGGTGGAATCTCAGGAGCTTTCCCAGTTGATTGAACAACTTGCTGAGGAAGCTGGTCCCTTTATCTGAGAGGATTATGTTGGGGCATCCGTACAGGGCTACATATTTGGTTGCTAGTGCATGAGCGATAGTGTGAGCCTTGATATCCTTAAGTGGTACAGCGGTGCAATGCTTGGAGAAGTTATCCTGTATTGTCAGGATACGGCAGTGACCCATACGTGTAGCTGGGAGGGAGCCGACGGTGTCGATAGAGATTCTCTCGACGCATTCGCTAGGTGTTTCGATGATGAGCATGGGCTGTCGGAATTTCACCCTTCGAATCTTCTCTAGTTGACAGGTTCGGGATAGTTTGTAAAATTTCTCCATTGCCTGTTTCATCCCGGGCCAGTAGAACCTTTCTCTTACTCGGTTGAAAGTTTTCACAATCCCTTTGTGTCCTCCGGAAAGAGTTGCATGGCCTTCCTTAATGATTTCTGCCTTTAGGGCTGCTGGAGGCATCCGGATTCCCCCATGGCACAGGGTTACAGTGGCTGGGGGAATTAAAATTCTTTCTCCAGGAAATATCGTATTCTGATATCGTCATCTATTTCGTCACCCTGAGATGCCATTTTTATTTCAGTGATTTGGTATTTTTCCATGGTGGTTTTGAGATTTTTCAGGCAGAGTTTTAGTATCCGGTTGTTTACTTTTTCGAAGTGGCATTGCTTCGCAATGAGGGTAAATGTCCGGAATTTTCCGCACTTCGTGACGATGACTTGACCTAGTTTTGGATTGAGCTTACGTATTTCCTCCAGGTCCATCAGATTGAGGTCACTTAAAAGTTGGGTGTTTTGCTTTTTGATCTCTCCATCTGCTGCGAGGAAATGAGCAATGTTTCCCCTGGTAAATGTTAGTCCGTCTCGGGTTTCTTTGATGTTGCTCGCAGGCTGGTAGTCACTTTGCAGTATAGTGATCTTGTCGTCCATAGTTTCCCCATTTGGTTTGTTCTGAGATATTTCTTGTTGGTTCTGTATGAAACCGTGCTCTTCGCTCGTAGGAAGGTCAGACGTGAGGAATTTGGGGTATGGATTCAAAGGCAACCCCGGTAGCTGTGCTGATAGCGGTTGTGCAATTTTGTTTGCTTGGGGAATTTCTGCTTCTCGGGAGTGCGTTGATGGATGGATTTCTTCGGTGCGTGGGAACAGNCTTTTTCTAACCTTTCCGTTAGGATTTGTGACTCTCCCCGGTGTTTTCACACTAGACTTTGGTACTGGTAGAGCAGGCATGCAGGTGGCGGACATGAAGATTTCCTCATATTGGTCCTGAAGAGGATTTTCTNGAGAATGTCTGGATTGAGGTATTTCTTCCTTTTCTGTTTTTTCGGGATTTTGGTCGGTGGAGCTCGTTAATTCTGAGATTTCGTCGGTTGAGTTGATTAGGGGTTTGGACTGGTTTTGCAACTCAGC